TAGTAATACATAGATAATAGTGTCCCGTCAACGTTCAGCATGGAACACGTCTGCGCTGATCGTCGTCGTCGTCGTCGTCTCAGTCGCCGCCGCCGCCGCCTCCACCGTCGTCGTCTCAGTCACCGTCGCCGCCTCCACCGTCGCCGCCGCCGCGGTACAGTGTGTAAACCGGCACGGCCGAGAACGGTCTCCGCCGCTGCCGCCACCGCCGTCGCCGCGCCTTCCGAGTTCCGCGTCCGTCGAGCACGACGACGCGGCGCGCGTCCTCAGGGGACGACAGTCGCTCGGTCGTCCGGCCGGCGCGCCGACGCCACAGCTTCGACGTCGAGACGTTTGCAGCAGCAGCAGCAGCGACAACAGCAGAGGTGAGTTGACGACGACGGACGCGATGTCATCGTTATTGTAATAATAATAAAACAATAAAAGATACTCCCCTCAAAAACAAAAATGTCCCGAGCGAGAACGGAACTACGAGCTTACACGTACGTACGCACACACACACACATATGACATTGCACTATGCACATAATAATATTGTAATAACTGCATATATTGTGTGTATAATATGTATAGTAATGCCCTGTCGCCGCCGTCGTCCCCTACCCGCGAGCCGCGCGACGCGCTCACAGTCGGTGGTGAGGGAGGCAGAACGGCCGCACCGCGCGAATCCGTATCGCATCGCATCGCCGCTGCTCGCCGCCGCCGCCGAGCGCAACAATTTCACTTCAGTCCGCCGTCTTCCGTATCACGATGTGTCCCCGATCCCGATTTCGTCGTCGTCGTCGGTTTTTATATTGTTCGCGGCTGACACGAGCGTATTTTTGACGGTTTCTCTCGAGATTTCAGAGTTTGATTATCGCGTCGGAAATATTTTATTTTCGTTTTCCGCGCTTGCCGGCGCCGACGTCGGTTTTTAATTAAAATTTACTTTAAATTTCTTGCTCCAGCAATACGTAACTGAACGAAGTGGCTACCAGCTTTTTTTTTTTTTTTTTATGAACAAGCGTTTCCGACCCGCGCACAATAACAATAATATTATAATAAATTACAAACAGGTGTAAAATATAGATATAAAAATATATTATACTTACGTGTTTACAAATATATAAATACATATCATATTATAATTATTTATTGTCGTATAAATAGACGCAACACACCGCAGTACGTACCTATTTGTATTTTGTTTTTGATTTTGTTTGTGTATGTGTGTGTGTGTGTATAAAAGAGAGAAGAGCTTGTGTACGCGCGCGCGTGCTTAGTGTTTGTTATTTTTTTTTTTTTTTTTTTTGTTTTTTACATTTATTCAATATTTTTTTTTTGCACGAAACCATTTATCTCGAACACTATAATGAAGGTATTTATGATGAATTAATATTATTTTTTTCTTTCTTTATCCTTATATTAATCACTGTGGGCTGAATTTATTTTTTATCTAGTTTTTTTTTTTTTTTTTAATCGATGACGTTCACGTTGTGTGAGCTTCCTTTATATTATTACCTACGCATGTTGTATACCATTTAGCTAGCTGCTACCGGTAATTATGGACAAACTAAAAAGTTATTTTTAAAAATATTTTATATTTTTATTTTTATTAAAAACATAACTTAACGAAAATATTTTTACTGATCGTTAATTATTTACAGTACATATACTTTTAACTAGACGAAAACATGACGAATTTATTAAATTACCAATATTTACTTAATTTATTTATTTTTTATATTTGTAAAAATATTTCAAACGTTGAAATTGTCGAGTATACCTAATGTGAACCATGTAGGTGGGTAGATTAAATAGAAGTACAGAGAGAAAACATTCTCGATATTTTAGCAAAAATTGATATAAAGTAAAATGAAATTATTTTAACCAGATGTTTATTTTGAATTGTTAAAAAAGCAGATAATCCTGTTTTTTGTTAGTTTTGTGTAAACCGGTTAAGATGAGCTTGACTATGGTACATATTTCAAAATCTTTATCTCTTCACAATTCAAATTTTATAGAGATCTATCTTGAACTGTACCAAATACATTTCATGGCCTTATAAACTACTCGCATTAGTAAAATAATCATATTTTTAATCATTTTAAAATTAAGTTATTCAAAAGCTGATAGTTGAACTGCTAAACATATTATGTGTACATTACATTGTAATTTATAATTTGGGATAATCTTACATGTGTACATATTTGAATTTTTAATCTCGTCTCTGATATTTAGAAGAAAGCTTATCTATAAATATGTAAACATAATATAACAATGCCTATATTAAAATCAATCTTTATTTACGTAGTATTATATTTTAAACGAAATGTAATTATTTGATTAGTGACTATTTTAAATAGTTCTTCAGTTTAAACTTTAAAACTATAATCTAACTAATTTAAGTAAACTGTAGGAGTGATCAATAAAATAAGTACCTATTTGATACAAAAAAATAAATATATACCTATCTAAAAAAATGTAATTCATACATAAAAATAATAAATTTAAATAAATAAATTTTAATTTATGTACATTAGCTATTTTTCAAATAAAAATATTTACGTAAATGTTGTATACAAATTATAGTTAATGAGATAATAATTTGTATTTTACTTATAGTATATTAAAACAGTAAACTATTCATATGTGCGGTAAAAATTATTATTTTTAAATATATTAATGTATGATATTAAAATATGATTAATTTAAAAATATATTTATTTAATTTTTAATTCACATTTTTAGGTATAAATACTATATTATACATAATATTATATCCACCCAAAATCAAAGAACAAATAATTGAATTAGTTGTAGACAGTATTTTTAGTTATTAATTATCATTATAACAAATAATAAATATTGTTTCATGTATAAAAATTACAAAAAATATACATTTTATTCAACCAATCATAAATTTACATTATTATTTATTTAAATAAAAACTTTGGTATGAAATTGATAATAATAATACATTTATCTTCATAGGTCATTAGAAAACATGATATTAATAAGTATTATAAATGATTATTTTCCGTCTATTGCTATTTTTTTGTTTAGGTATTGGAAATCATATATTTAATTAATCAAATCATAGAAATGTATTTTTATTTTTAGTTTTGACTTATCAATAAATGTATACTGTAATTTACACACTTTTTAATCTAAAATGTTCAATTAAAAATTAATTGAATACGCTATTAATATTTAAACCTATACGATTATTATATGAAGTAAAAATGTAAATTATTTAAAATTAAAATACAAAAGTTATTTTCATAGTTATTACCGTATTTATCATTCATATTGGGTTAGGTCAGTTTTTAAACAAATTGTTCTTTTTTTTTTTTTTATGCAATAAACTATAACAACTAAGGCCTTCGTGTGACACGACGTAATTTATGTTTGTTAACTATTCTATATATGTATGATCAATGTTTTTCAATTCATAATGATGCACAAAACGCAATAACGCAATATGCTTGAATTCATTGTTTTTAATAATGCGATGGTCTTTTAAAATGCACAGAGAATATTGTTTTAAATACAAAATTAAATACGATATATAGTTACGGTGTAGTGAAATACCGACTAATAAATTAAATGCAATATTACAGTAATGATATTTTGATTTAACGCAATAAAAGAGCTTAGTTTTAAATTTGAATGGTTTTATTAAGATAACACACCGCATTAATTAACTATGGTATAAGACATAACTAAAATTAGGAGTAAAAAATTGTTTAATAGTATTTTTAGTTGAACATCTAAAATTTATATTATTTTTTAAAATTATTATACACCATTATATTATATCACCTTGTAACTTTGTATAATATTATACGAATAATTTTTTAATCTATGTAGAATAATATAGATTATAATAATTTTAAATCAAACAATATGCGTAATAAAATTCATAACAATATTTTATTAATTTGTAGTTTTGTGCACTACTGCACATAATGCACCTATAAAAATTAAGAACGTTACGGTTTACAATATTATAGCTTGTAAAATATTATTACAAAACACGTATAAAGTTATAAAAGAAGTTTCTTTTTTTTTTTCTACATGATAAACTGCCAATTGCCATAAATTTGACTATATAAAACTGCGGGAATATTAGAATGAGATTCCAGTTTGCCCACGTGAAATTGCACAAAAAATTATTTATGCCCAATTTCTCGTAGTCTTATGAGTTTAATAATGCTGTGGTCACAGATAAATTTTAAATATTACACACATTTATATTATATTAATTCGTCCATTGATCCATTGTTGCATCCTACACATTGCACTGATTTAAAAACATACAGGTGTGCGTGTTCAGTGTGTATTATATATACATAGTTAATTCAGTAGGGACATTTGTTCGTTATTCTATACATTAACAATGCGTTTTGAAAAATAAAATTATCTATACGTTGCCTCTTCTTCAGCTATATCGGGCCGTATTTGAATCACCTATTTACATAATACATTAAATTGCACAAATAAACGAGTATGCGTAATATACCTAGTTATAATTATTACAGAGTTATGTTTTTGTTGAATTACTCAGGTATTTTTTTTGAAAGCCACTTGTAATATGTAAATGTAAATTCAACCGATGTTTGGATTTTTAGCGGGTTTCTGTGCGAGAAATTCTGGTAACAGTGTACATTTTAATGTGTTGACGCCGAATGTAGATGTATCTATAGAAATTTGCATAACGTATTGATATAGTCAATAACTAATAAATAATTCGACGGAGGTAAAATGCGATCGATTAACGATACGTAGGTATATATAGCCCATATTTACGAATACAACAATAATAATATTGATAATAATAAATATCAACAAAGTAGGTATACCGATTCACGAGATATTTTTTTTTTTTGTAACAATGGATGAAACTAAAATATAATAAAGACGTAATATCTTTCGTTTCTTCAAAAGAAATACATATGTATTATAATACAAGTTTCATTTTATTTTTCCACATAAGTGTACGACTGTTCGTACGTTCCAATAATATCCGTATATTATGTTATATGCAACATATGTATTATAATGTTCGATCTATATACCTACTGAATACTGGCCAAAACGAGTTTGTGATTTATTTATTTTCTTTTATTCTGTAATATTATATGCGTAAGTATACAAAAAAAAGAAAGAAAAAAATGACACGTACAATAAAAATATGATGTTCTTACACATCAGCGGACTTAACTGAAACACATATATATATATGCAAATTCAAAAAAAAAAAAAGTCAATAACAATAATCATTTATACATAGGTATAACATACAATACTAATGTAAACTATTGCGCGAAGAAAATATTACACTGTTCCGCATCAGATATATTTCCTATACCAACTACGTAACAAATCGACGTATCCGAGTACCTATACCTTTATTTTTTTTTCTGACCTCTAGGTCAAAATATTAATTATTAAGCACCGAAGAGTTTCCAAAAAAACGGTATATTTTATTCTCAACGGTACCTAAACGTTTTGCAGTACGGTTCGGATAAAAATTAATTATGCATGCATGTAAATAATTCGATTAAAATTGAATGAATAAAAAGTAGAATTTGTCCAAAAATTAAAGTGACGTTTAATATTAAAACAAAACATTGATCATGTCGATTTATGTTAGTGATATTATACTGCCTCGTGGTAAAAAATAATAATTATTGCACTGTTAAATATAATACACACATACTTTCATCTATTCATCATGATTATTGTAGTGTACTTTCGTGATTTAATTCAGTGTTAATTATGTAACATTTAAACATTATAAAAAAACAACCCGTGTACGTATTTTGTTGATAATAAAGTACATTTGTTCCTGGAATATTTCTTAAATTGTTGAACGAAGGATTAATTACAATTATTATTTTTTTTTTTACATAATTTATACAGATATACCTGTGTGTTAATTAACAATTACAGTAAAAAATCGTAGGTATAGGATATTGTTGTTAGTAAAATACAGAGATTATATCTTGCCCTTTGATTTTGTTCAAAAAATTTTATTTAAAATAAAAAATTACATGAGCAATTGAACTATGAGTGAAATACTGCAGGTTTATGTTTTATTAGTATCTACACACATTTTGAAAGAAATTTCATCAAACGCGTGTTGTTTTTTTTTTTTTTTATTATTATACGGATATACAACCACAATATTATAACATGAGCTACAACGGCTTGTAGTCTACAAGTAATTTTTAGGAAAAATATACGTATTGAGGTCTAAAGTATAGAGGAATGTGCGCCGCCGTACAACATTTTAAAAACTAATAACAAAAATAAACACATGGTATTCCAGTAAAAACTTTGGTAATTTGTATTTTTGTCGCATCAAAAACT